TGCTGAATCCCTTGGCTAGTCGGGAGGATTTGGTGTCTTACCACAGAGTCCAAAGCACTAGACTTCTGACAGGGTTTCAGTCCTCTGTATCTGATCCTTAGAGCTGGACTACATCTGGTCGGAGTCAAAGGCTGCCTCTGCCCTGATGCTGTTCAGGGAGGATCACAGTTTTTTGGGTAATTCTTTGAAACTGTGACCTCAGTGCTCGCATATAGTAAAAGGGACAAAAAAGAGAATAGGAAGAACATAGGACAAAGCACATGATGCTGTTTTAAGCTTGAGGCGCATCTGCTTCTTGAGTACTGTAAGAGATTGCGAGAGGGTCAGGTACTTCCCTCCACACCATCCCACGGAGGGAGGGAGAGCTGGAGGAGGATCCAGGAAAGGGCAGCCAGCATGAGCAGAGGAGTGGAGTAATAGCCACATGAGGAACGACTGAATGGATGAGGACTCTTCACCTTGGAAGAGGGATGACTGAGGGGAGAGAAAAGACAAGCCTGTAAAAGCGTGACTGGCTTGGAGAAGATGAATGAGAAGCAAGACAGTTCACTAAAGGGAATGATAGTTAAATTGCAAAAGTCATTGCCACAGGATATGCTGGATGCTGAAAGATTACATGAGTTTAGCAAGCAAATTAAAGAAAATCCTGTTGAGGGCCATTAGATGTAGGAACCACCACTCTGGCTTGGAAGTCCTTGGAGATACTTTCCTACGCCTGCTCTTCCCTAGACATCTGCTGCTGAACGTTGTCAGACCTTTGGTCTGTCTCAGTGCAGCTTTGTACATGCCGCTTTTTTTCCATAGGAAATGGTTTCTGTTGGCACAGAAAAATACAAATACCGGAAGTTTAAATAGTCTCAGAAAGCCATAAGCCTTTTAAATACAGGTCTTCAGCTCAGTAAGCCATGTATTCTGGGAGAGCCTGTGAGAGGAACATCTCTTACTGTGAGCTTGCTTTATCTGTCTTCCCATTGACCACTATTAGACATAAGGTGCAGAAGCAGATGAATCTTCGGATTGGCCAGTACGGTTGTCCTTTCTGGGTTCTACTTTAAGATACTTCCTTCAGCCCTTTTCAGGGCTTAGCAGTCCCTATCCCCTCTCCATACTCCTTGTTAGGATATGTATTCTGGCTCCAATAGAGCAATAGAGGAGATGGCAAAGAAAATCCTTTTTTTCTTGTTCAGAAAGTAAAGCCATCATCAACTCTGTTCTTCGCACACTCTTTTCAACAGGGCACCAAAGTACCTTGGTTATCTGCCATCATGGTGCTTCTATCTCCAGTACTCTTTTCTGCTACCTGGAGATTGTTCTTATATTTCTGGGCAGGTTTAGTTTTTGGTCACAGGCTTTGAGAAATAGATTAGGCAGAGGTGCATTTGAACCCAGCTTGCTGTGTGGGATTAGTTTACTGTATAAACGTGCCCGCTGCTGTGGCATGGTTGGATGCTTTTCATTATTTCATTTCCCTCAGAGAATGAAAATGACCTTCCCGCTTTCAGTCATTGGTTGTGAATAGTGCAGTGCTGCAGGCTTGAAATAACACTTTCTGCTCAGAAATGTGTTTGAATTTAAGGCCTTATGATTTAAACTTGAAGATATGATGATAGTTTGTTAATAATGAATTTTAGAAAATCTATTTAAAAGCATAAATTTGGACAATAGTCTGGCTTTGTCCTCTTGAACAAAACAACCTCAAATTACTGTAATCGGTCTTAACAAACTGATCTTTTCTCTATGCTTTAAATGAAATGTTAATTATATTTAAGACTGAGCAATCAACTAGCAGCCCAATATGTCTGTTTCACACTCTGCACGAATGTCGGTTCGTTTTGGAGACACTGGTGTTTATTTATATCTGCAAAGTTTGAACTGTCTTAAGACCGGTAGGCATTGTAGATAACTTCTGTGCCACCCTTGTTTGTTCAAAAGCTACAGCTGTTTGTTTTACAGGAAATTTGAAGCGTTTTCCCCTGTTGTTCATGGCTATTACACATAAAATGTTCTACAAACATTTATTTGCCTATTGAATGCTAAGCATCCTCACTTTGTCATTTGAAAGTTGTGGGTCTTTAGCTGGTAGGTGTCACAGATCATATAATAATTTTTTCATTTGAGAAATCTTGGTTGCTAATACGAACTGTGCATACTATGCCCATTTTCTATAACAATTAGTTGCGTTAGGTGTCACAGTAGTGGTGTGTTGTCAGTACTCGAAAATGGCTACTGTCTGATTCTTCCACTCATCTGTGTCTTTCTCAGTTCTGTGCCAATGACCCCGAGGTGTTTGTCCAAGCAGCAATGTTGGCTCAGGATTATTGTGATGCCATAGACCTGAATTTGGGTTGCCCCCAGATGATTGCAAAGAGAGGTATGTGCAAACCTGAGCCCTGGATAAACAGAGAAATGTCATGTTACAAGTGTGAACTTTGTCAGTAAAACATCCAGAGGACCAAATTCAGCGTTGGTGTGGGTGGCTGCAGTACTTTAACAAGTAATGCTTTGCAGTAGCTGAAGCAAAAGTTAGGTATACTAATAATTCCAACTCTTGAGTGAAAGCTCTCGTTTCTAGCCTAGCCTTCAAAAAAGTAACTTTTAACAAGGGTTTGAACTTATCTGATTTCAATTGATCAAACAGTCTGACTTCAAAAAGTTCATTTAAAATTGTATAATGTAGGTGGTCAGTGTCTCCTGTATCCTTGTTGCCTGCACAGAGTTCATTCGGATTAGTATGTAAAAAGATAACAATTGCTGAACCAATAAGGAAATTGCAGAGATAGCTGTAGGGAGAAAAAAAATAGTCTTTGAAAATTTTGGACCAGTTAGGATACTGAGGAAAGATTTATTCCCTAACTGTCCATTCCTCTTTAAACTTTCTTTTAAAGACTAATAGGACTCTCACTGGTGCACAGGGAGAAAAGGTGTTTCAGTCCTATCAGTTTTTATTCTGGAAGGAATTAAAACAAATATAAAACCCTGAAAATAGACCTTTGACCTGCTCGTGTCAACATACCAGCCTTAGAGAGTAGCAGTGAAAGTAGGGTGTGGGGCTTGATTGTTTAGCCTGTAAATCTAAGGTGGCATGAGAGAAAGAACAATCTAACTCTTCCAGTTTTGGCAGAGCGGAGTAACTGTGTTTCTGTCAGTGAGGAATATGAGTGTGTCTGGATCTTTGTATGTGAACATTTATGAAGGCTTGCATACTTCAGATTCTCACTTTTTGCAGTCCATGATGTGCTATTTTGTTATAGGTCATTATGGAGCATTTCTGCAGGAGGAATGGGATCTTCTTCAGAGAATGAGTAAGGCCTAAACTTTACTTTTGAGAGGGAATGGGATGAGCTCATCATTAAAAGGAGGCTTATTTTGGATGTTTTGTTTACTCTGTCTGTATTCCAGTGACACCCTCGAAATAGTTGGTGGCATCTCACTACAAACTCATGCTAGGTCTGCTAAAAGACTTCAGTACCTGAAACGGGGCTTAGGTGAAAATGGATTGATGAAGTCCTAGTCTAATGATGGCTTAGTGGCTCTCCAACTCTAGAAATAGCACAACTCCCCAATGCCTTACTTTTTCACTCTGAAATTCTCAGGTGCCAGGAGCTGTGCTTCTGCCTGAAGTCACAGTTGCCCTTTTCTAGTCAGTGCAGTGTTTTCTTTCTGGCCACACCGTAACAAGTTATGCCTCTCTTCTCTGAGTTATGTAGGAGGTTCTCAGAATGTGGGTAACACTTGTGAACAATTTCATGTTTTTTGATGAAATACAGTTGGAACTACTTTAAAAAGCAATGTTCTGATCATTTGGTAGAGCTCAGAGCATTTTTTTTTTTTCCCCTCCCTTCAAAGCAAGTGTCTGAACCAGGCAGGTATAGAGTCTTACTTCTGCTTGTATTCCTTGTGGTCCAGTGAATCTTGAATGATGTTATGCACAAAGACATAGCCAGGAATCTGGAAAGGTAGACTGTGCTTCCCTGCCCGGCATATAGTCTGGTTGTTGGAGCACTTTTCTTGGGAGTGAAAGATGCAAAGTAGAACAGCCTCAAGCTGGGAAGAAAACTGAGGTCACCTAGCTTTCAAGAGAGTTGTCTTAGTAGTTGTCTGTAAAACGTGGGCAAAGCCTCTTCCTTTTCCTCCTTCTCCAGCCTTCTTTAAAATATTGGAGTACTTCTTTCTGCTTGCACCTGTCTACACACTGTTTGCTGCTTCAAAAGAGTGATAGGCAGTACCTATCAATAAAAGAGTGTTCTGGGATTTGGATTACAAGAAAGCAGGTGCCTTTGTGCATTACACACCTAAGCTCTGGAAGAGAATAGCATTTCAGGCATGCTATTGCTCTGCATTTTCCAGTTGGCTGTCTCTAGCTAGCTGTCTTTTTAGTAGCATTCCAGTTCCCTGCACTAGGTGAGGACTATGGATGTTTGACACACAACCTACATTTACTACTTAATTGAGTCCACAGCCTACCTCAGCTGATAAGCCTCTGCTTGCCATGATTACTTGGATGATAATTTGGAAAGAGGTAAAGGGGCTTTTGTAGGAAAGATGGACAAGTGAGTTAATGTAGTCAGCAGAGTAGAAGGAATACAGTATGCTGTGACAACAGTAAAAATGAATCGGTGATTAAGATTCAAGGGGGAAGGTTCTCAAAAGCAAAGGTTTGATGCAGTGGAAAAGTTAGGGCTGTTAAATTATAAGTATATGATACCTTCTTATTAGAATGCAGAATTTGTTCTTCATGATTTACTATCATTTGATTAACCTATGCAATAAGGGTTGCAGAAAGATGCTGGTGATTGTTTAAGCTGTGAGAGCACTGCATAGCATTAACTTTTCAGGCTTTTCCATGCCACACCCAGTGTCTGATCTTGAGGAGATCAGGCACTTTCCATAGCATTGTGCAGCCCACTTACCTGTCTTTTCAATCTTTCCCAGTTTTGCTGGCTAACGAGAAGCTCTCTGTTCCCATCACATGCAAAATCCGTGTTTTCCCAGAAATTGACAAGACAGTGAAGTATGCACAGATGCTGGAGAAAGCTGGCTGCCAGGTAAGGAGGCAGCTGCTCCCTGTACTGTTGCATTGGACACATGTCTTTGTGTAAACCATCTTACGACCAGATCTTGGCGCACTTTGGAGATGGATAGGCTATATTGTTTTACCAACCAAAAAATGGGGTGCAGAGAGATTGTTTGTATTTGCAGTTATAGACAGCAGGTCAATAGTGTAATATGGAACACATTGTGATTTTTAGAATCCTTGCTGTAATCACTGCATGATGTGGCATCCTTCACTGTGGGTGAGCATCCCAGTCTAACGCAGTACTGCTGGAGGCAGTGTGAACGCATGAAGTCAATAAGGCTATGGAAGAAAATACTTCATATCAAAGATGGCCATCACCAGGCAAAACATAGGTAGTTTTACAGGATTTAACTCCAGTTAAATTGGAGACAGCCTGTAGTGAAAGCCAATGCTGCCAGTATTCTGGTCTTCTACTGAGGAGTAAGCTAGATCAATATATCACATTCAACAGTGAATCACAAATAGGAGCCATGCAATAGGAAACCTGTAGGTTCTCCCAAGATACAATCTTGTCACACTGTGAAGCAGCAAGCTGAAAGAAGCCCAAGACCCTGCTGTGCTTGGTGAGCTGGTGATGTCTTTCTGTGATACCAAAATCTTTGTGTTGTTGAAATAGCACTGGGGATTCAGTGGCATCCACAAAGTGTATGGGGTGAAAGGAAATTTTCATCAGTGGATTTGGTTCTTATACTTTAAAAGCAAATGCAACTTTTTATTCTAGCTGTTGACTGTCCATGGCCGTACTAAAGAACAGAAGGGACCACTTGCTGGTGTGGCATCTTGGGAGCACATTCAAGCTGTCCGGTAAGTGAGCAGTACCAGAGAAGGACGCACCCTTAGTTTCCTTTAGTCTGTGCCTACAGGTTTAAGTAGATAACTCCTAACACAATATCAACATAGATTATGAGCAGTGTGCCGTGGCACTGAAGAATAAACGTGTGTGGCAGCAGCAGAATGTCTGGATTGACTCCAAACATTCTTTTTAATTCTCAATAGTATGTATCTGTTTTATTCACTGGTATAGAAAAGCTGTGAGCATTCCTGTGTTTGCAAATGGAAACATCCAGTGTCTCAGTGATGTGGAAGAATGTATCCGTAAGACAGGAGTACATGGTGTCATGAGTGCAGGTAAAGAAAAATGAGCTTTTACTCTTAAGGGTACAAACTGTTTCTTGCTCTCTTTAGTAGTCCCATATAAGTTTATTAAAAGCTTAAGGCAGACTGCTTTGGTGAACAACCTGCACTGAAAGCCGAGCAGCCATTCTCTCTTCTCTTGTACTGGCATTTCTCATCAGGAGCAGGAATCACTTTACAATGAGAGTTGTTGTATTGGACTTCTAGTCCAGCCTAGACCATTTACTGGACAGCTCAAAACTAGTTAGTTGACAAAGATATATGGGAATTCTGTTGTCCTGGAATATTCTCATGGGTTTCTGAATGGATCTTGATGCAGAAACTGTATCCACTGGTTAGTATTCCTGCAGATGCTTTGTGATCTGGCATAGAATGCACAGTTTCCATAAGTGGACTAAATCACTAAGGGATTTTTTTTGATATTACAGGGCTGAGTTAGTATCTGGGACAGGACAAGGCCTAATGTAGGAGTTCTTAGAACTGTCTTATAACATATAACTGTTCTTGTAACTGTGATCATTTGTTCTCTAAGTTCATATTGGGTTGGGACAAGACGGAATTAGCACTACTTGTTACAAGAAGAATTAGGACTAGACATCAGAAAAAGCTTCCAATCACTGACACGGTTAAAGCAATTAAACGATTGGCTGGGAGGTTGTAGAAGCTTATTTTTAAGAAGATACTAGTTAACAAAAGGCTTGTCAAACTAGCGGAGAAAGGTACAGTGAGAAACAGTATCTGGAAATTTAGGCTAGACAACTGTGAATACAACATACAACACTTTTTTTAACAGTTAAACATTTAACCATTGATCAAGAAAAGCAGGGTGTTTTTTTTTTTTTTTCTGTCTTTGTCATTTTGATTAGATGCCTTTCTGGAAGGTATATTTAGATACCAGCAATTGAGCTCAGTTAAGAATGTATAGTGAAATACGATATCATGAGGTCAATCTAGAAGTTTATGGACCTTTCATTCTTATGTATGAATACTTGGCTCTGTTTCCCTGATAGCTGGTAAAATCACAACAGAGCTGATCAAGCACTAGAACCTAGATTTTGTTCTCTGTTTTAACCCTGAAATGAAAGTTTGAGTATTTCTTTTTATTCCGTAGAAGGCAATCTTCATAACCCAGCTTTGTTTGAGGGCCGAAACCCGTTGGTGTGGGAGATGGCTGAGGAGTATCTGGAGATAGTGCAGAAGTACCCTTGTCCGTTATCTTATGTCAGGGCTCATCTATTCAAGCTCTGGCATCACACGTGAGTAACTCTAGAGACCTTTATAATATATTTTTTCAGAGCTTATCTTGCTTAGCAAATCTCTGACTTTTCAGGACAGGAGTTTGGTCAGAATTGGTATGCTGCAAGGTTTTCTTCCCTGAACTTGGCTGGGGAGTATGTGGGCTGAGGCCTTTACCCTTCACTGCATATCTGGGAAACAGTACATGGGGATGAACGAGTTACCACAAGATAAGCTAGGGTGTGAGCTTATAGCACATCAGCTACTATGTGCCCATATGCACACATGCACTTTGTGGCAAACATGAGGTAACTAACTCCTTGTTCATTGTGAGGCACGCTAGCTTGCGTTTGTTGTGGAGTAAGAGCATGGCCATGGGCAGCCACTGTGCAGTAGCCGATGCACTGTAAGTTTGCATGTTAACTTATCTCAGAGTACCTTGTCTGTGTGCCCAAACGCCAAATATTTATTTGAAAAAGAGTAGCAGGCTTCTGTTCTTTTTCTCTGGACATATGAGAAAAAAGATAAACTCCTATCAGAGGCAAATGCAGCAAGAAAAATCTACAAAAAGTTTTTTATAAAGGCATTTTTATTCAATCTCCTTTGTGTAGCAATAATGAATAAATATGACAGTGTTTGGGATTTGCCATAGGCTTCAAGTTTACCAGCAGCTGCGTGAAGAATTAGCAAAAGTGAAGACTCTACAGGGCATTGCAGATGTCAACAGGGAGCTGAAACTACGATGTCAGGTACCAAGATGGGCTCCTATCTCCTAGAAGAACACTGTCCACACTTAGTGGGAACTTGCCACATATGCCATGCAACTGATGTCTGTTATCCTCCTCATTGGAACTTTATGACTCGTCAACCTTAATATTGTTAGTCTACTGCACTGCCAGTCTCTTGAACTCAAACAGCTTTATGAGGGATAAAGCTGATTTAAGGGTTAAAAATCTGCTACATTTCATCCATCTCACTAGCGTATTTTTGCCTGTATTTAACGATTGCTAACTATTAGTTTAAATTCCATTTTGTGCTTTCATGGAGTTTGAGGTATTACTTCCTGAGACCTCCAGGAAAACTGACTGTACCTCTGTGCTGCAGGAGGAAATAGCTAATCAGAAAGAAGGAGAAAAGCCAAAAGAAGGATTGCCTTTCTTCCACTGGATCTGTCAGCCATACATCAGGCCAGGGTGAGTTATCTACTCTAACACGGACAGGTACACATATGCCATTCCCATTCAGTTCTGTTCCAGAAGCAGAATTTAAATTATTCATTTAAAAATAAATGGATTTTTCTGGCTCTTTTCTGGTTATTGCTTTGTTCATGGGGATGTTACTCATGCAATGTGTCTTCTCCCTTAGCGCCTCCTCAAGTTTATTTCTCTGTGGAAAGCAAAAGCCAAGAGACTTCCACTGTAGCATAGAAAGAAAACCTGATGTGCACCAGATACTGCTACCTGGTAGCACTTTCTATATAACAGGAATGCTGCTGGTACCTGCCAGGGTAGCAAAGATGGGAACTAAATTCTGTTGTATAAAGGATGTTTGTGTTGTATGGGCAAGCTTTTCAGATAGCTTAGGCTCTTTCTGTGGTGAAAATGTGGTTTGAAGAAGAGAGAGTGTCAAGAGTAATACTTAAATTCCCTCTGGAAATGACAGGTTAACAGGTACCTAACTAATTTAACTGGCCAGCTTTCACTGACTTTCCAACTGGTATGACTGATAGTATATCTGTTAAGCAGTCTGTGAATTCTGAATTGCTATGAAAAGCCATATTTATGCTTTTGTTTCACTTTTAAATGCAATGATGTCACTTATAATTTAGCAATGATAGAAAGGTTTACGATTTACCCAGCATTCTGTAAACAGCAATGGTGGCCAAAGAATACCTACTTTGTTCCTTTCTGCCAACTTAATGATGTTCACCATTTCAGGCCAAAAGAAAGATGCAAAGAGAATGGAATCAGTGGGACTGCAAAAGGTGTGCGAGGGAAGCGTGCCCTGGAAGATGAGGAAGATGGAAATTCTGAGCTGCTTTCAAAGAATAAGCAGAAAAAGAAATTAAGAAATCCAAATAAAAGCTTTGATCCATCTTTAAAACGTAAGTTTATTTTACCGTTTATTGACATAAATGTACGGAAATGCTGCTGATGTCACCTTTGAACATAAATTGCCAGTACTTTCTTTTCTTTGTTTATGCAAGTGAAGAAACTTTTCAGAAGAGAAGGGAATTATTGGGAAACTTTACTAGTAGGAAATGTGATTTAAATTGCATTTGTTAGGAAAGGACGTTAGTTATCAAAGAAGTAGGTTTTTAAGCTAAACTGCTTTACAAACTAAATTGTAGCAATCACTAGCATTTGAAATTGAAATTTCATATGCATTTTAAGCAGATTTCATCCTCCTTTGGACTTGACATGAGGTTAAAAATTTTCTGTGTTTGGACTTAGCATAGAGGCTCTTAAAAAGTCAGACTAGCTTTACCTTCTTTGCACTGTTCTTTGAGATGCAGTATTTTTATTAAAAGTGCATTTCTGGCTATAAAATCGCCAAGCTTTGTCTGATCCTGAAATTGTGAATTTACTGTTTCCATATGAGACTGCTATTGCTGAAATTGGGTCTCTCTTTTCCAGCCAAGTATGCAAAATGTGATCAATGTGGAAACCCTAAGGTAAGCCCATGTCAGCTTCCATTAAAGCATTTCCATTTAATCCTGAGCTCTGTGATGCCAGTATCCAGTAAGGCAGGCATACTAAGTCCTGTTGACACATTAAAAAAAAACATGTCTGTGCTCAGGCAAAAGCCTCTTAGCTCTAAACAGTCTCTGAAGTGAAGATGTTGTGCAAAAGTTCTCACATATATAAGTAGATTCTTGACGATCACTTACCTTTCTTTCCAGAAAGTGTGGTATGTCTTGTGCTGCTGCTGAGGCTATTTATTGCTAAGACAGTTGACTGAATTAGCTATAACTCATAGGACCTCTTGGAAACAAATCTCCAAACGTTCACTAATTACACATGTATATTCTACTGTGGAAAACAAACAAAACTGTTGGTAGGGTTTAGTGGTGGGTGGTATTTTTCTGCAAGGATTAAGAATTTGAAGAATTGGTCTGATACTGGCGTATTGATACAAATACTGTTAAAATTATCATTGCAGCATAGTCTGTAGTGAGGGTTCAGGCAGCATCTGTAGCAGTGAGGTTTTGGTGGTATACTTTTGAAACTTCACTAGCAGATTAAATCCATCTTTCACCATTCTAAATGTTAAGCAAGCCAAATCTTTTCCAGACTACAGCTGGTTCCTTAACCAGGAAATGTCATGGAGCAGAGTGCATTTAGTGCTCCTCACATATCTGTGCACACAGCCGTATAAGCAGGGTGTAAGATGCAAGGCCTAATTCTAATAGTTGGTGGGGGGGGGGGGGGGAGCACATGTCATTGGTTTCTTTTGCAGCACCTTATAAACAGCAGCAAGCTGATGCTCAGGTTTGAGCTGTAGCTACAGGAAGACTAGCTTTCTTATTGTGTTAATTACTGGAAAAAAAAAAAATTGAGCTTTCTGGCCTGCCTTTGAGGCCATTCAGTTTCACAGCTGAGTGTTAGCACATCTTGGTGCATCAACCATGACTGTCGGAAGCAAGGAGGCTTATTCTCCTATTTGTTTTACCCTTGCATCATTGTTACAATGCAGCCAGCAATGGTACTAGCAGTTTGGCAGCCCTCAGTGTCTTGAGACTAGGACTCCCCCCCCCCCAATCTTTTAAAAAGAAAAGTTTGCTCAAATGCCTCACAATCCAAAGACTGGCCTCATTAGCCTCTGCCCCTCTCCAGCAGAAAGTAAGTAAGTTTATAGTTCAGTACATTGCTGGCAGTAGTCTTTAGGGTAGAACCATAGCTGAAGTTCTGGCCATGCAGCCTGACTTACACTAATGAGGTGACTTTGGAAAATGCTGCCTATGCGTGCTGGTACTCTCCAGATATTGTTCTATTTAAGCTTGGTATTAAAATCACTAAAATAGCACATCTGGGGAGTGTTTAACTGATTGAATCTATTTTTTTTTATTATTGATGTTCCAGAACTTACTACTCCCAAGAACTGGCAGGGTGGCATCACCACTGGCGTGCATGTGTGTATGCACATGCATGTACCCTGGTTGCAGAGGGGGATTAGTGTAATGAGTGACAATGTATGCAAATGAAGATGTAGGTTACAGTAAGGGCCAAAATGCCTGAGTGAGAGAGAGTGAGAGTGAGAGTGAGAGAGAGAGAGAGAGAGAGAGAGTGTGTGTGTGTGTGTGTGTTAAGTAAGTAGTTTGACATTTGCAGTTTTGTTTTTTAACTAATGAACTGGCTGGTGGGGGGAGACAAACAAACAAAGGGTTCCCTATATCCACGAGCTCTCCTTTTTTCTTTTTAATTAAAAAAAAAAAAATCATTTTCCTAAAGAACACTAAACATGTATGAGCCACAGGCACCGTCTGCTGTCAAGTTGTAAAATAGCCAAGAATCACTCTCTACCCTCCCCTGAGGAAGGGGCATACCTCATAGTTTAATACATCAGCATACTGTAAGAAGCAGTTATGGAAGTAATTGCTGTAGTAAGAAAGATAATTATTTTAGCCATAGCTGCAGCTGGTGAGTAAACCCTTGGTTCAAACACTGCAAGCTCAACTCTAATACCAGCATAAATCTTGTTGTGAAGGGCTTTCAGCATGTGCCGCTGTATTATAGAAGGCTGCCCAACAGCTTAGTGATGCTGTGGCAATAGAATGTGCCCCCCCCCCGGGGGGGGGTTCCCTTTTACACAAACATTTGATAGCTGGAGGGTGTGTGGGTCCCCCCCCCCCCCAAGACTTCAATGCTATAGGCTTCTTTATGATGAGGTGCAACTGCCTAATGTATGACACCAGCCTTCTTCATGTGGTCTGACTGTGCACAGTGGGATGGGTGGTGCTTAATATACAAAAAGGATATGTGTATTTTCACTAAACTAATTGATACAAGCTTCTTTTCCCCCTTCCCCCCAACCTCCCAGGGCAATAAATGTGTGTTTAACATGTGTCGAGGCTGCTGTAAGAAAAGAGCATTCAAAGAGACAGCAGACTGTCCAGGTAAGCGTAGCTGCATCAATCAGTGCTGGCCTTAGAAGTCACTGAGCAACTGTCCCATTCTTCATATATATATATATATATATATATTCATTACTTGAGTGATTGCTTTGTAAGTTGAGGAAATATTTTTTTTCCTAATTATTATTATTATTTTTTTTAATCACCATACCTATCTTTCTAAAACGTTATGGCCTGTTCTTTCTGGTAGGTGTGATATTTCTTCTACTTCTAAAGCTTTGGGTTGCAGTGTTTCCAACGTGTGATGACCCAAACATTTGTTTTAGCTATGCAGAATGAGCTTGTTCTGTTTTCCTGGGCTTTCATTCATTTTTATTTCAGTTCCTTTTTCTCCTTCCTTTTTTCTTCAGGTCATGGCCTACTTTTTAAGACAAAGTATGAAAAGTCCCTTTTGTGGCAAAGTAGTCAAAGAGAGATTCAAAAGCCAGAGATCAGCTGGAGAGGCAATGTGGATGTAGAGGAACCTACACTTGCTGAAGGAGGCTGTTGACAGTGCAGCGTGAAGCTCTGGAAATGAATTGTACAAGATCTCCTGCTAGGCCTCTGCATCCCTGGGCCAAAGAACCTGCCATCTCCAGCACACCATCAGCTGTGTGAACTTGTTCCACAGGTTTATTCTAAGTTCTGGAGAAGTTTTATTTAAGTAAAAAGCTGCTTACTCAGGGAATTATCCTGCATTTGAAATAAAAAAAGGATGCAATTAAATTTCTCATGCTGTGTTTGAAAGACTTCACCAAGCTGAGCCAAGCCTAAGGGCTGAAAATGCATTTGGGTGGGAGGGCAACCGCTAGACGCTGCCATCGTAGTCTGCCTCCTGTAAGTTCATTAATCCTTCATGTGCTGTTTTTAATATTGAGGAATAAAATTCTTATATTAGAACAGCCCTCTGGAGTGTTAAATTAAAAAAAAAAAAAAAAAAAAGAAAACACTGGCCATTTTTTCTTCCTAAAAAAAAAGCATGTCTTTTAAACTAGGAAGTTTGTCTCAAGGACAGGTAGGGTTTATGCATAACTGTTTTGTTTTCTTTAATTAGCATCTTTTAGGCTGTGTGGAATTGGATGCTGTATAGTTGCACCTCAACTGCTTTGAGCCCAAATAATCCCCTTTACCTGTTAACCTAAATCCTAGCTTAACTCACCTCAACTGCAACAGATGGCACATGCTGTCAGAGGAGAAATGCAGGAAGATAAGCATTATAGTGAGCAGATCACTGAGTGACCCAGTCTGGTACATGCAGAGCTTGGCTGCTCATTAAAGTAGCTTTCAGACTACACAGTAAGAGTAACGTTCAGCTAACTCCTGCCAGCTTCCTGTAGTTATTGACCGTATTAAGGCTTAACCTTAAGCCTGGAGCAGGCACCTCTTCAATGCAGGAGGACAGTGCTGAATTTCCCTTACTTGCTGAGAGCATGTTTACTACTAGTCTCCTGAGCTTACACCCTTTTGCAGTTTCCAAGGTAGAATTTTAGCTCATGAAGTGCTTCCAGACACCAGAAACATTTTTTTTTCCTAACAAACAACAGGCCTACTGAAACACAATATGAGCCGGTGCATAACATTAAATTTACTTTGTGGTCTAGCTGTGAGTTTTGTAAGCAGATGTATTAAGAGAGCAAGTTGCCAGCACATACTGCTACTGTCTAGCAAGTGGCCCCATCTTACAGTGTGTGATTATTTTGTATTTTGAGTGGCGATTTTGTACCAGTTTCTAGGCTATAGTCAGGAATAGCTGACAAACTGCTGTTTTGAGGAAGCACTGGCAAAGTGTCTTAGGGCATTACAGTCCTTGTCTTGGAAAAGTAAGATTATTGAACAGCAATAAGTGAAAATCAAAAGTGCCTCCAAGGTCAGAAAACAAACCCAGAAATTCAACAGCAGGCTTTTCTAGGAACAGGGAAGCTTCCCCCCCTTCCCCCCCCCCCAAAAACAAAAAGAGTGGCTCAAAACAGATTTTGTTTTAAGTGTTCCTAATAGGGCTGTGTTTCTGTCAAAGAGAAGATAGCATGCTGTTATTTTATAACCCATTTTCAACATTTTTCACTCATTTCTCAACACTCACATCCACTTATGTACACACACAGACACACACACAGACACACACTCACTCACTCTCACTTTGAGCCTGAGCAAGGTTTAGATGAGGCTAATGTTCACTTTGCATTTTCTGATCTGCATTACAAACTGTTTTATAGTTCACAGTTATGAATTCATACATAACCCAGACTAGTATGCTGGGGGTGGGGGGAAGTTAGTAGCTGTAGCATGTTCGCATTCAAAGCGCTAGCAAGAGAGCCCAGAAGAAAGATTAACAGATCATTAAACAAAATACCTTATGTGAAAGAGAGGCCTTGGCCTACCTTTAGGACAAGTACCATACTGCTCACCAGCAACCTTCTCTTCTGTGTTCCAATTTTCCTAGCTGTTTTTCCAGGGATCTTCCCCCATCACATGGTCACATGCATCTTTACCTCTCTAGGTATCTGTCTGTATCTGGCTATCTTTTACCTAGCTGGTCCCATTCATTCCCATTTCAGTTCCTTTAGAGGGTCCACCACAGGCAAGAATTTCATATTAATTTGGAGGCTGGATTAAAGGCTGCCTAACATTTATTTTCAGCTTTCTACAGATTATGATGATAAAGGAAGCTTGAACTCTGGTACTGAGTCTTCCCATTACATTCAGTCATTATTAGAACAAAATATTTTCTATTATGTTCTGGGAATAGCATCTTTCAACCTTAATCATTTTGTTAACCAAGTCTTTCAGCAGTTTTCAGGATTTCTGTCTACCCTCGTATTCAAACTAAGTTTAGACACTAAGTGGGTAGATGTTCTGCTAGCTTGCCTTGTGAATTGGAACCAGCACAGAAACCCAGGGAGAGGGAAAGGGTGTGGCATTTACCCAACAGTCCAGTGATTAGTGTGGGAGAACCAGGTTTAAAAATGCCTCTTTGCCTCATTTAAAGATGGAAACTTGAAACCATAGCTCCCACAACCTATGGAAATATTCCACCCCTTTCCTCACAGAGACATACACCTGAAAGCTGTGAAGTATTCTGAACAGAATTCCCTCGCCTGTTAGAAAAGTCTCTCTTCTAATAAAGAGCTAAATAGTCATTGTCAGCGAGTTTCAAACTGCCCGTTTACCCCCCCCCCCCAAACGTTATGGAGTTTCCCCAAAACATTAGAAAGCTCAGTCCTCTCACTGTCCTACTCACTGTGCCAGAGAAAATGTACAAAGTCAGACACAGCTTTTGCAAGAGCAGCGTGCACTATTATAACATGGAAGTGCAGGCACTTTTGCTATTTGAGAGAGAGGGATTATATCCTCAACTAAAGGGTGGGATTTTTAGAACAGGTGTCTCTCGAGTACACAGTCTCATCACAGAATCGCTTACCAGGGCAACAGACAAAACCAGCTGTAGGCACCTGAATTCAGGAAAGGCCTTTACACTTGAGAATCCTGAATAGATACACATCGTCACAAAATTAGTATTTAAGGGATGTTCTTCCCCACCCCTTTTCCAAGGCATTTCTTAATAGGCAATGCAGCTAGAAGCACACTTAGCTTGCTGGCTCCTGTCCTGCTGCATGGCAGAAAACTCGTGGGACTGGAATACTGTGCAGTTAGACACTGCAACACAAAGCTCCCTTTGTGCATCTAACTACAAACCACTACATTAATGAAAAAAAGCTGCAACCTTAACTTTCAACAGCCAGTGTAGAAGATTACAACTAACTTCATAATTAATGAGGTAAAGGACCACTGTATCAATTTCTTAATAACCAGTGCTTGTGAATTAGGAGGCACTATTACAACATAAGTAAAGCTGAGCCATTTGCCATTTAAACTGGGCACACCTGCACCTACATTAACCAGGGATTGCTTTCAGGCTAGGCAATACACTAATTATCCTGTTTATCTCTAATCAAAAAATTGCAGCCTGCAAACTCAGCAAGATTATGTCCTATTTTGCTCCTGTGTCACAGGCCCTCAAGAAGAAATAAAGTCTTCAATTTTAATGGGAGTAGGGGAGAGCAGCATTCTGCACGTAGAAGCGTGCCGAAATTGATCTTTAAAAAATACCCACTTACATTTATTTGAGCTGGACGGAAATGAGATTCCTGCACTTAATCCATTTTAACATACACACAAGAAAGAAGTAGTAGTTAACCTAACAAAAAGAAAGCCAACTGCCTTTATCTGGCAACCAGCTTCTCAGACAATGCACTGGGGGTGGTGGTGGGGGGGAGAGTAGTAAATCAAATGAAGACAGAAAATGCTGAATTTCAGCATACATTTACAGGGCACAAACTTGATGTACATACAGACTTCACAGTGACATAAATTCCAAGAGGGTGGTATGATAGTCAAAGCTATTGCTGCAAAAGTACTAGAAAACTGATATCTTTGGGCTAAAGGACAACAAGATTACCTAGTCTGATCTCCCACATAAGACAAGTCCCCAGGTCTTGCCACTTGAATTGTTTGAATTAGACCATCTCTTGCTCATGCATCTACCCTGGTCTCTATGGGTTTTAATAAGTATACCAAATCCCAGTTTTGAACCATGCTTTGCTGTCAAGAAATTGTCTTACTTGCATTGGGAATTTACCTAACTTCTAACCACTGAATCTCATACTTTTCTCCTAGGAGTTGATATATCCATATTTCTGTTTCTGTTCCCCAGACAATTAATGTAGACCGATCAAGTTATCCTATAAGATAATCTAAAGGTGGGTTGCTCTATTAGAACCTACAAACCCTTGAATTGAATTTATAGATCAAGTAGATGGGAATGCAGTAGCCAAAATAATAGCAGTTGAAGAGCAAAGCTCATGTGCAGAGCACAGAGTAATCCATCTCTATTCTCTAACAGTATCAAAGATAAGTGGACGTCAATTCCATACAATGTTTTTAAATCTACTGCAAACTAACACTTAACGGACTAAAAAAAGAATAAAAAATAAAATAAAAGCTCACCTGTATTAGTCTCGGCTCTCACAACAGGTGGCACAAGGATAAGAGTACTGCTGGGTGTAGCACACTGCTCCCCCATTCTCACCTATTTATCTTCCTATATAAAGTAATGAAGAAAAACCCAAAAGAACCTTGAATAGCCAAACTAAGTTGGTTTAGCTTTTTATTTTTTTCGAAAAGATCTGCACTTCAACAGCACTTTCTCCCTTTGCATAGTGGAATCTTTATCAGAAGTACTACTGTTGCTATTATTAAAATTTCCTAATTTATTTTTCTCAAAGCTTATGCTATGTGTGTTTTTTTTTTTTTTAAATCAGAAATAATGCATCATTATTAACTGCATTCAGTTCTGGGAGCTGTCCAGATAATGAAACTAAATCAGGAAGTAATGCTAAGAGGGTTACAGTAGCATCCCATATACCAAAGTATAGATCATACGTGCATAGCAGGGGGCAGAGGCAGAACTGTATTACTTTTTCCCTCATCCACTAAGTCTCTCAGAGGACGATAACTTAGAGATGAACGTGCACCCTGCCACTTTATAAGCACCAAGAAATAATCTCCCTCTCTTACAGGCTTCCCTGTGCAAATTTGAGCAACATAGACCACTGTGCTGGTCAGGTTCTGGCTAGACAATTACCAGTCATCCCCAAATGCTCCAACACAACACACTCATAATGGCAGTTTCTGCCATTTCTGTGCTAATTAAAAGTGAAATGCCTTCA